TTATGATCCAGGACCACAGCCACGGCTCAAGATCCAGGACTCGCAATCCATGACACAGGACCGCAGGATCATCCATGACTCCGGATCCCGGCGTATATAGACACCAAAAAGAAAGAAAAGGAATTGAGAGGAATGAGAGGAATTGTATTATTATTGAAGATAACTGCAGTGTATTCGTTGGCTTCATTTTGCTTGCACGTTAAGAAGAGAGAAACTATGGATATCTGACTTCACAGTTAACTTAATAACGTATTTTTTTGATATATTAGCCTTTTGTTTTTTTTGGTTTCAGTTTTGTATTAAAACGTTGTGAATTTAAACAAATTCATTAACATCATAAAGTAACATGTATCCTTTTTTAGCAACCCAACAGTGAGTGTGTAATATTTTCCTCATAATGGTACAACATTAACACTAAGTCTTTGCATCATGTCTTGAGACTCTCCAGTCTGCCAGTTCTCACAGGTGGTGTAATATTTAGAACTAATCATTGTAGGTGGAGTATTCATTATACCCCCCCTGAGAGGAGCGCCACACGCAGCACAGCTGTGTGATGCAGACCAGCACAAATAGGAGACTGCATCAGAGCCAGAGGGAAGCCAGTGAACCTGAGGGAAATATATAATAACTCTCCACTATGTTCAACAGCTAGTCCCTAAATCTGATTGGCTGCTGTTTTGGTTGTGTACAGTGTGTTCATTGTCACTGTTAAGCTGTGAACTACTGTCTCATTTAAAAAAAGATGCAAATGGGAGAGGTGGGGCCAAGTGGTTGGCTGTAACACCAAAACAATAATCCAAACAATTCTAAAATACTCCCACACAAATGATAATCTTAACCTGATGTAATTATGTTTTTGTTGATCAAACTTAGTATTGCTAATCTGCATCTGCAAACAAAACTAGAAACAAAAATAAATGTAAACACATCCTTCTGAATCTTAGTACAGTAGAAGTATAACGTAGCTGAAAAGTTTCCAACACTGACAGATCCTGGCTTTGATTTACACTCATAGATGAAAACCTGTGACCATTTTATTTATTTCAGCACTATCTTGTTGAGAAACTGCAGACCTGTCTTTGTATGTCATAACAATTCTACAGCCTTTAGGCTGATGCTAACAGTCTTTTTGAACAAGTCCATTTAGTGCTGTCCAATGAGGCTGTAGACTGGACACTACTGGACACTACGTGCTTTTTTAGGACTTTATATAGCAGAAATAATAATCTGTGCACTGATGAGCAAGGTGATCAATTGAAATGCTTCCGCTCTACACATACGCAGGAGCAGGTATTGTTAAATGCTGGCCTGAAGGAATGTGTAAATGTGCTGAGGGAGTTAACTGTGTTTCCTGCACAGCCAGCAAACACAGTAAAGCTAATTGGCTTCGATTAGGCAAAGGCCATTGTAACACATTTCATTAGGAGAGAGAGGGAAAGAGAAAAAATAAGAAGTGTTGGTTACTCTCACCAGCCAATCGTCCTTCTGCACGTTCTCATTATTCTCATGCAGATGAATGTGCACAAAATGAATCACCTTCAGCTCCTGCCATTAGCGAGCCCGTTGTGGTTGAGAAACCCTGATGTTCAGTCAGCACAACAGCACCCACAATATTACAGGCTACTGCCTTTCATCTGCATAGAAGTGTGTGAGACAGATGGTGGGGCCTAATGTTATTAGATGGGAAGAGTGTGTGTGTGTGTGTGTGTGTGTGTGTGTGTGTGTGTGTGTGTGTGTGTGTGTGTGTGTGTGTGTGTGTGTGTGTGTGTGTGTGCGCGATAGGAAGACGGACTGACTTTTGATGATCGAGCTGAGAGTGGCTGCGTGGAGGCAAGAGAGTTAAATCCATTAAGTGACATGCCATCAACCTGCTTCCATTCATGAACATCTACTTTTGGAGACTCTACAAACCACAGGGGATGCTGCATTCTGGGAGAGCAGCGTTCCTGTGGAATAATAATGACTATTAAATGCTTTGAGGGTGAGGAGAAGGATTTAAATGTTAGCTGCTGGAGGTCAATGTGAGAAAAGGAGTCTAAATTGAGATATGATTTGGAGGTAGATAAATAATTACGGTTCAAAGGGGGATTAATTGTGTCTCTTTAAATTATAATGTTATCATTAAAGATGCTCAATAAATTATCATAACTGATTGATATGGGGAAAAAAAGCTCAATGGAGCTGTGGCTCTCGCAGTGCTGGAAAGACACCTTGGGTTGTTTTTATTTTATTTTATTAATGAGGAATATGCTGCCATGTTATGTCATGGCTAAATGATGTTTTCGAAACAATTCTACGTGAGAGCAGGAATAGAGGAAATAATTCAAGTAATAATGCAAACCACAAAAAACTCTTGAGATGGAAAAAGGGTCAAGCTCAAGGAGAGACGCATGAAAGATGACAATTCACTTTAAAAATATCCCCATAGAAACGGGTTTGCAGTGAGTCAACAGAAAAATGGAGCTAGCCAAACATTTGGTTAGTGTTGCAGGGAACATACCTTCTCTATATGTTTTGTATGTGTTTATTTTAATGCACCAGTGCCTTCATGGGACTGTGCTGATATATTTTCAGAGGATTAAAGCTTGAGTGTGTTAGGTTGTCTCTACAACTGTGTCAGTGATATTTGCATGTGAAGTGATTTGTGTCCGGCGGATGTGCACATGGGTGCGTTCAATACCCACGATAGAGACCCAGTAGGTAGCCTGTTAAAAAAAAGTGTTGTTTCTAGGCAGGTGTTCAGGTAAAGATAACAGGGAAAGCAGAAAACATTCCAGTGAAGGTGCCAATTGCTCAGTGCACAGACTGCAGGCTACAGCATTTTGTATTTTAGTATGTTTGAAGGGGAACTATATTAATGTTGGTACACAAATTATGTATGGTGAAGAACAACATGTGCACAAAAAAGAAATCCAGAATTGGACTTTAATGATGATTTGACAGGATATAGGCTTTGATATCTTTGTCAGTCATACCTGGTTACACTAGTGGGTCAATTATATCTGTAAATATGTTCTAAACTATTTTTTATTCTCTTTTCTTCTCCACCCCACTCCAACAGATGTAACTTGAATTCAATACTGTCACTCTTGATTTAAAAAAAGCCCAGCTGGACTCATCAAGCTCACTTCCTCCATTTCTTTATAGTTTAGCCATCATGAATCCAAAGTGTATTGCTCTCCACAAACATAAAAATGAATATTACAAAAGCTTTCCATGGTGTTTTCTGATGGACAAAACTAATGTTTGTTGTCCACAGCTATTGTTCATTTGCCGGGACTCCTTTCTGCGGATTGAGATGCCTGCAATTGGTGCTTTGATCTTCCTTAGCAATGGTCTGTTCTCCTTAGCTGTGGTCTGCTGGCAAAAAACTACAGAACTCTGGAATGTCCAAATTGACCAATAAGAATCTAGTATTCAACCAAGCTGTGTAATAAGTATTACAACTAGAAATGCATTTCCTGCAGAAAATGCCTGCGAATGCTGTAAACTGTGAACATTTGTTGCTGCATAGCTGAAAATGCAGAAAAAGCTGAATATGTTATTAGTTGAATGGTAGCTGCTTTTAGCTACAGAAACCAAGTAAGTGTGTTGCTGAACTTAGTGGAGAAATGCAACAATGAAAATGATTTGAATCAAAATTGTTACAGCTAAAATGCATTGCAAGGACTTTGTTGAAAACTTGAAAGTAAAATGTTAAACTGGAAGAGTAGGAAAAATAGTGAAGAAGCTTAATATTTAAAAGAAAAGGTTTAAAAAAGGTATAAACAACTAAATGTAGAGCTTCAATGTCCTGAAATAGCTGAATAATGTAATAGTTGAATGGTTTCTGTAGCTGAAAGTAGGCTGATGGAGTTAGATATTAAATGTAAGTAGTGAATGAGTGTGTATTAAGAAGAGAAAAGAAAGTAAAAACTCTTTGAAAAGTAGCAGAATATTTTAACTGCAAACTTTTTAACCAAAACCATACATCACCAATAATGTATAGAATATGTGGAACATGTTGAAGTCAGTATGAAGTCTCCATAAGAAAGAAAATAATAGGTCTTTGTGTTTGAGGTGACGACGTTATCAAACACCTGTGTGTGAGCCCAGAGATCAAAGGTTTCCATGGAGATGTGCAGTAATCAGTGAAAGGAGAGCCTTTCCATTGATCTGAATTTGGGAGTTATGGCAGGTTGAAGAAAAAGGTTGAAGGCGAATTTCAAGCTCTCCTTTACTCTAGCTGTGACATCACGCCCTCTAAGCCTTAACGAGCTGCGCAATACACACTCATGTTAAAATCTGAAGAAGGACTCTTTACCAAGCTCCAAACTAAGTTAAATATCTCAAAAAGTGCAAACAATATCAGAAATCTGAATACAATTTTAATAGCTGAATGTCTTGTGATCATTTTAAAGTTGGAATGAAGTTTGTAGCTGAAAGTATGTGGAGGGAGTAGCATTTGGCGCAAGGTGTAGGTAAATGTTGCACAGCATTCCACTAATAAAAAGGGGAATATAAAAAGAGACTAGAGCAGATAGTTGGGTCGAGTATTGTTAGTATAACACAGAAGTATTTCTACTGGTTCCAGGCAGTCGTAATCAATAACGACAGTGTGATTGTATTGATCCTCATGTTACATTACATAGGCATTTAGCTGACGCTTTTATCCAAAGCGACTTACAATAAGTGCATTCGACCAGGAAGATACAACCTTGAAGAAAACAGAATCATATAAGTACATCAGGTTTCATAGAGCCAAACATTTCAAGTGCTACTCAACTGGCTTTAGAAAAGTCAGCCCTTTATTAGTATATAAGTGCTTTGTCAGATCTGGTGGTTCAGTAGGGCAAACACACTAACACCTTCTCTCCTCCTGTCTCTCTGTGTGCCAGATGATGACCACACACTGCGGATCCTGCTCTACTCACTCATCTTTTTCCTGAGCGTGGTTGGCAACCTGCTGATTATTCTGGTGCTAACGGTCAATAAGCGCATGCGCACCGTGACCAACACCTTCCTGCTGTCGCTCGCCGTCAGTGACCTGATGATGGCCGTCTTCTGCATGCCCTTCACCCTCATCCCCAGCATCCTCAAGAACTTCATCTTTGGAGCTGCCATGTGCAAGATAGTGTCCTACCTAATGGGTGAGAGAAGGGAGGATTTTACTGTATATACTGTAAAAATGCCCTATTATGCTTATTGGAGTGTCCCCTTTACTGTAGCTTATTCTATAGGTTTTTGTGCAAGTGCTGTAAATGGTCTTCAAAGGCTCAAAAGTTCCCTCCAGATGGAGTGCCTCTCGCTCCCTCCCCCTGCCGCTTCCATTGGACTCCTTTGTTTACTTCAGCAACACAGTGAAATCGCTATGTGAAACTCGCACTTCTATTGGCTAGCACTCCAACACATTGTACGTGATAGGCTAAGGGGCAGTAATTGGCAACAGGTGAGGGATATAGTTTTGTGTGTAAAGGAAATAAAATCTTGACTGAATCTCTGTGTCAAGATAAAGGAATATTTATGCAATGTCATATTGCAGTTGATTGTGGCTTTTCCATTAGATGTTTCATAAGATGTAATTTATAGGGGAAGCCTAAATTATCCTGATACAGTATGTTGCCCAATAATATTTTTTCACTCTGCAAAAATAATAAGGGTCCCCCCTTATCAAAATTAAACTTTTTGATAAGGCCCCCCCCTGTAAAAAATGTAACTTTTTAACAAGAAATGGTCTCTCTAGATCAGGGGTCTCCAACCTTTCTTCATCTGAGAGCTACTAAAAAATGTAAGTGGCCAAGAGCTTGCAACACATCGCTTACATTTATTCACATAGCACTAATCAGTTGAATTAAGCTACTTTTGTACACGTGTGAAATTGCAATACCCAAAGCTTATCAAAAATCTTAACTTCACATCAAGGTCCAAGAAAACGACAGTTTCTCACTTCTTATTATGCCCCATATAGTAAATACATCGCCTTAATCACCACCTTACAAGCATCTTATGGCATGTAAAATAAGTGGATTCAGTCTTTTTTACAGTCAGTGCGATGACTGGCACTGAATGGAGTCCACCATAGAGGTGTATGCTGGACCAACATAGGTTCACTCTAATAGAGTCATTTAAATGTTCATCAGTCAGTCTTGTTCTGTATTTAGATTTCATGACATTCATGTCAGAAAAAGCTGCTTCACAAAGGTCTGTAGAGCCAAATAAAGCAGACATTTTCAATGCTGCTTGGTGATGTTCTTATGAGTGAAACTTGTGAGTTTTGCTGAGACTTAAGCTGAACATGATTTTGGAAATGTTTAACCTCCACCTCCATCTCCACAGGATTGATACTGAACAGTTCAGCCATCTTCTTCTTCGTCTTGACATTAAATTATAAACCATAATAAATCCATTGTATAGGTCTAACCTCCCTATATCTGTGTGTGAAATTGTTCCATCCTGAAAAACATGACTTGAGTCTGAACACAGCAGAGCATTTACAACAGCATATAAAAACAAAAATACTGCATGTGGGTGCACACTTACATTCTCTGTGTTACTGTTACATAAATCCCATGA